TGCTACAAAGTCCTTGATAATGGATTTGAGAATTTTCCCCACTACCAATGTTAGGCTGTTTGGTCTATAATTCCCTGTTTTCTCTCTACCTCCCTTTTTGAATATTGGAGTGACATTAGCTATCCTCCAATCTGCAGGGACTGTTCCAGAGTCTATAGAATCCTGGAAGATGACCACCAATGCATCCACTGTTTCTACAGCCACTTCCTTAAGTACTCTGGGATGTGAATTATCAGGCCCTGGGGATTTATCCACCTTTAATCCCATCAATTTTCCCAACACCATTTCTCTACTAACATTGATCCTCCTCAATTCTTCCCTCTCACTAAATCTTGCATCCTCCAACATTTCTGGTATCTGATTTGTGTCTTCTTTTGTGAAGGCAGAACCAAAGTATGTATTCAGTTGCTCAGCCATTCTTTTCTCCCCTATTATACATTCCTCCGTTTCTGTCGGTGGGGGACCTACATTTGTCTTTACCAATTTCTTTCTCTTCATGTACCTATAGAAACTCTTAGCGTCAACCTTTATGTTTCCTGCAAGCTTACTTTTGTACTGTATTTTCCACTTCTTAATCAACTGATTATTCGTTCACGGGATGAGGGCATCGCTGGCCAGGCCAGCATTTGTTGCCCATCCCTAATTGCCCAGAGGGCAGTTAAGGGTATACCACATTGCTGTGGGTCTGGAGTCACGAGTAAGCCTGATCAGGTAAAGATGTCAAATTGGCTCACTAATGTCATTTATGAAAGACAGATGGGTTTTTCCCAACAGTCAACAGTTTCACAGTCACCTTTAGACTTTTTATTCTAGGTTTTTATTGAATTTAAATCCCACCATCTGTTGTGGTGGGTTTTGAGCCTCAGTCCAACATTACTCAACAGGACAGGGAGTAACTGCAGAGAGAGGAACACAACTGCACCCAAGCCGAAGAGAAACCTTTTTCTCAGAGATGTGAACTTTTGGGCTTCTCTACGACAAAGGGGTGTGGGAGCTCTGTCTTTGAGGTAGAGATTGATAGATTTCTGATGACCAATCATTTACAGTTAAAACCAGGGAGGTCATGCTGCAGCTGTATAGGGCGCTGGTGAAGCCAAACTTGGAGTACAGTTCTGAGGAAGGGTCACTCGAGCTGAAACATTAACTCTGATTTCTCTTCACAGACGCTGCCAGACCTGCTGAGCTTTTCCAGCAATTTCTGTTTTTGATCCTGGACTACTGTACAGTTTTGGTCTCCTTACTTGAGAAAGGACATACTGGCCCTGGGAGGGGGTGCAGAGCAGGTTCACCAGGTTGGTTCTGGAGTTGAGAGGGTTGGCTTATGAGGAGAGATTGAGTAGACTGGGATTGTACTCATTGGAATTTAGAAGGATGAGGGGGATCTTATAGAAACATCTAAAATTATGAAGGGAATAGATAGGATAGAAGCAGGGAGATTATTTTCACTGGCGGGTGAAACTAGAACTGGGGGGGAAGCAGATTTAGGACTGAGCTGAGGAGGAACTTCTTCATCCAAAGGGTTGTGAATCTGTGGAATTCCCTGCCCGGTGAAACAGTTGAGGCTTCCTCATTGAGTGTTTTTAAAGCTCAGATAATTTTTTGAACGGTGAAGGAATTAAGAGTTATGGGGAGTCGGATGGTAAGTGGGGCTGAGACCATGAAAAGATCAGCCAGGATCTTATTGAACAGTGAGACAGGCTCGAGGGGCCGAATGGCCCACTCCTGCTCCAGGTTCCAATGTTCTTATGTATAGGGTCATGAAGATGGAGTGTGAAACATTGACTGAAGTGTTTGATCAGCCACAATCGTATTCAGTGGGTGGGGAAGGCTCAATGGGCTGAATGGCTTACTCCTGTCCCAGTGCTCCAATAAACTATTGCAAAATCACCAGCAAAAGCTGAAATGGAATTTGGGGAAATCTAGTGGAGGATAACCAGCAGTCCAACAGTGACGCCAGCTGGTTCTCTGCAGTACTGCACATTGCCCATGAGGAGACACATCAGTCTCACACATTACAGCATGCTCTTCAGCCTCTGCATTCTGATGGATCAAACACAAGGCAGACAGACTGATGGGGGTATGGACAGGACTGCTGTTTACACTGGGACGTGATTTCTTAGTGAAATCCAAACTGAAAGTGTGCTTGGAGCGGGAGCAATGAACACAGGACACAGCAACAACCCTCCCACCTCTGTAACCCCCACCAGCCTTATAGTCACTGGCAATTCAAAACATTAATGTCCCATCTAACACCCCCAGGTCAACAGCAGCATGGGGTGGATAAAGAGTAAAAATCCCTCTTCTCTTTTAAACTGAAAGGAATGCTTTCTCTACACTGTGTCTCCTTGTGCCCCCAGACCCCCATAAATCACCCCCCAGGACAGGGACAGCACGGGGTTAGATACAGAGTAAAGCTTCCTCTACCCTGTCCCAGAACAGGTGGAATTAAGGGTTATGAACATCAGAACAGGAGTAGGCCAATCAGCCCTTCGAGCTCATCCTGCCATTTAATGAGATCACAGCTGAGCCATGGTCTAACTCTATACAGCTGCCTTTGACCCTTAATATCTTTGCTTAACAAAACTTTATCTTTGACTTAAACCTCTCCCACCTTTTGTATGCAGAAGTGCTTCCTCACATTGCTCCTGAACAGTCAGAACTCATACAACACTAGGTTGTAGTCCAACAGGTTTATTTGAAATCACAAGCTTTCTGAGCGCTGTTTCTTCATTAAGCGAAGTGACTTCACCTGATGAAGGAACTGCGCTCCGAAAGTTCGTGTTTTCAAATTAACCTGTTGGACTACAGCCTGGTTTTGTATGATTTCTGACCTTGTCCACCCCAATCCCACACTGACGCCTCCACATCCTGAACAGTCTGGCCTTGACTATGGCCCTTAACTCTAGAATTCCCTCCGAGTGGCTGTAGTTTCTTTATCTACCCTAACATTTCCTATTAATATCTTGATGACTTTGATCTGATCACTCCTTAACCTTCTTAATTGTAGAGAAAACAGGCCTAATTTGTATAATCTCTCATCATCAGTTCTAAGGGTCACCAGACCCGAAACGTTAACTGTTTTCTCCTTCACAGATGCTGCCAGACCTGCTGGGCTTTTCCAGCAACTTGTACTCCCCCTAAGGCCAATCTGTCCTTCCATAGGACTCCAAGTGGGGTCTGACCATAACTGCAGCATTCTTATGCTCCAGTGTCCTACACACCAGTGTCAGAGAATCACCCAATATCGCAGCTTTCCTGCTCGGCCTGCTGTGTTCATCCAGCTCTACACCTTGTTATCATGGAAACAGACCCTTCGGTCCAACTAGTCCATGCCGGCCAGGTATCCCAAACTAACCTAGCCCCATTTGCCTGCATTTGGCCTATATCCCTTTAATCCTTTTCTATTCATGTACTTATCCAAATGTCTTTTAACTCTTGTAACTGTACCTGAAATCACCACTTCCTCTGGCAGTTTATTCCACATACGGACCATCCTCTGTGGGAAATTGTTGCCCCTCAGGTCCCTTTTTAAATCTTTCTCCTTTCACCCTAAACCTACACCCTCTAGTTTTGAACTCCCCTATCTTATGGAAAATACCTTTGCTATTCACCTCATCTATGTCCCTCATGATTTTAAAGAACAGTACAGCCCTTCAGCCCTCCAAGCCTGCACTGACACAATTTACCCTTCCATACTAAAACTGTCTTCACTTACAGGATCCGTGTCCCTCTATTCCCTTCCTATTCGTGTATTTGTCCAGGTGCTTCTTGAATACTGCTACTGTGCTTCCACCACCTCCTCTGGCAGCTCATTCCAGGCACTCACCACCCTTTGTGTGGAAAGACTTGCCTCGCACATCTCTTCTGGGGTGGCATGGTGGCTCAGTGGTTAGCACTGCTGTCTCACAACGCCAGGGATCCGGATTTGATTCCACCCTCGGATGACTGTCTGTGTGGAGTTTGCACGTTCTCCCCGTGCCTGTGTGGGTTTCCTCCGGGTGCTCCGGTTCCCTCCCACAGTCCAAAAGGTGTGCAGGTTAGGGTGGATTGGCCGTGCTAAATTGTTCCATAGTGTTCAGGGATGTGTAGATTAGGGGGATGGTGGTGCTCTCAGGGTCGGTGTGGACTTGTTGGGCCGAAGGACCTG